CAAATTGTCAGTGTGTTTCCACATGGTTGCAGATACAGACAAGAACAGACCACAGATCTATTATGCCTGTTTCAGCATTTCTCTTGCTGCTGTAGTGTTTTGCTAAACAATTCTTTGAATGTTAAAAATATATCAACAATTTAAATATGGCCATATAAATCCTTCATTTTAAGTTTCTATGCTACACGTTATCTCTCCTAGCAGGAAGCTAGCTTAGGGCCTCCTGAAATAAACCAAGTGTCATGATGTTAAACTGTATGACTCTGTCACTGGATTTTCATTCCATCTGAAACAACCTAAATGGCCTCAAATTCTAAAGCAACCTTCAATGAGATTGCCAAACAGATGCTTGCTAACAAAGTTTGGACTCTGATATTAACAAAAAGTTACTAAGAGGAATCAATATCTGCAGAGAAGTCCCATGGCATGTTGCTGCCCAGATCAATACAATACTATCCATGAGAAACCTACACAGCCATCGCTGTATCCTGTACCTCTTGCACCTGACAAACACGAAACCCAAAAACGAGTGACTGTGGGAAAGAGAGACAAAGACAGACAGAAACCAAATGATTCTTTGCCACTTATTATTCTCTACCCAATAGGATCCCTGAAAAAAGTCTACCTTAGCAAATAGATTGGCTATAGATAAATTCATGATTGATTGATAGATGCATAAACAAAAGTATATGTGAGAGAGTGTATGTGTGTGTAATGATCTTCCTAGTTCAGGTAGCCCTGATGCTACTGTCTTCTCACACTATTTCCTATCTGCAGGAGAACATTTGTTAAGTGATGATACCATGACAACCAGACAGCTAAAGGTTTTTGTCTTTTGTTGGTGTTTTGTGGCCCAGCACATAAGATGTCAAGATCCATGGGATTTAGGGACAAAATACTCCACAAAAACAGCAGTTGTTAAAACAAGATTTCACCCTAGTACTTGCATTTCTTCTTCCTGTTCTATAATAACTCATTTGATGCATACAGTACTTAGTAGCTAATAAATTCCATGAAGACCAAACTGTTTGATGTTCTAAAAACCAATCTCCATTATCTAGAATATGGCCTGGAACACAGTAAATAATTAATGAATGCTTTTTTTTTTGAATGAATGAGTAAGTATCACAGCAGGATGTTGCACACCAAATGCATTCTACCACTCCCACATTTGATCCTTATCTCAAAACGCAAGGCAAATTTGCCCAAATCACACCATTCTCGATGAGCTGAAATAGGTTACAAGCATTGCTCACTGACATGTCAAGAGTATTTGACTAAAGTCAGAGATCAGGCAGTGTACAATAAACAGATCAGAAATAAAGAGGACATTTGCAATATGTATTGAAATTCAGCAATCTGGTAAAAGAGATAGGAAAGAAACAATAAATAGTTCCACATCAAACAGCCTTTTTATATATTACCACTACAGTGGCCATGTTAATTTTTTGTCTCTATAATTTGTATTTCAAATTTCTTACAATAATGATCTGTTACCTGGGATGGAGAGAGCATAAAATATACTAAGAGAAAGTATGAAGGGAATGGGAGAGGGAGAGAGAGAGAGAATGGAAAAACACCTCATGAAATGAAAATAGGCAGGCTATTTCTCCATGACTCTAAAACCACTGATTGAAAATGGAGAAAAGTCAAATCAACCGGTTGTTTTGTCTCCATGACACTAAACACGACTGGTTTTACTTTTTTCCAAAGAGTATCTTGAACTGATTAGTTATTTTGGCATCATGGAGACTCACACTATGTGAACAAGGAAAATAACATGGACCAACGAGGGAGGGCCATGGGCCATGTCAAATGACCAGGCAGCTCAGTCTCAGGGCACAGTGGTCTCTTCACAGCCTGAGAAATAAGCACCTTTCAAGAAAAGTCTTCTGAGAGTCCATAAGTTCTCAGCAGTGGAAATCTGAATTCCTGGGTTCTATTATCATCCTTTCAAGAATTAAAGTTGTGAACCTCTTACGTAGATACGGGATAATGGCTTCTGCCTCGTATATCTTCCATATTTTTGTAGGTGGGAATTAGTAACAGGTGGTATTTTAAGGATTTCCAACCAGAAAACCCTGAGTTGTTATGGTCCCACAACCAGTCAGTGTCAGCACCCAAGTTGTCTGACTTCTCAACTGGATCACCTCACTTGACTGTGAAGTCTAGAACAACATGGATAGGCAGATGTAAATTTCCTATCAGATGGCTACCCTTAATTCTGCCAATTAGTCTCCAGTGCAGGTACCACGTAATGACTCTGCAGTATAGTGCAGACTTTGGAGTACAGTTAAAACGTTGTTTGGAACGCTTGGTTCTGTACCAACCACCTGGGTTCAACTCTTACTTCCACTGCTGAGTCCAGGTTCCTGCCAATACCCATTCTGAGAGGCAGTAGATGGCAATTCAAGTATTTGTTGGGTCTCTGCTAATTTGGAACCCAAATTGAGGCCCTGTCTAGCTAAGCCTCTGATAAGTAGGCACTTTGTGAGCGAACCACTAGATGTAAAATCTTTGTTATATGCTTTCCACAGGATTCTTTTTACTCATTAAATAAATAAGTAGATATAAGGAAAAAATTACCATCTATCTATGCAGAGGTAATATAAAGGATATATAATTTTAATTATCGACAACTGACTAGATATTTTAGCATTTTGTTTCAAATTTTCATGAAATGATAGCATGAGAGTCTTTGTAACTTTGTGTTAATGTCTGTTTCAAGAGGAAGTAGCAGAGGGCTTGAGTACACGAGTTTTGTAAGATGTCTTGTACATTAAGAGCATAATCTGCAGAGCTCCCCTTTCTGAAGTAGAGACCTTGTTTTTTTCACGTGCTCATAGACATGTCTATGCTGAGATGAGCACTAATTGTCATCACTTACAAAACATTCAAAACATCTCAATAAACTGCAAGAGCCAAAGTAGCCCATCTCTACAATATATGAGAATTTTATTTGTTTAAACTTATATTTAATCATTTCACAGATTGGAAAGAGAGACCTTCCACTGGTTCACTATCCAAATCCTGCAGTGTCCAGACCTAGTCCAGGCTGAAGCCAGGAGTCAGAAACACTGTTCAGGTCTCCCACCTGGATATCAGGGATACTACAACCCAGCACCTGCTACCGATCACGGTGCACGTTGGTAGGAAGCTGGAATTAGGAATGCAGCCAGAACTCAAACCCAACCACTTTGCTATGAGATGCCTCAAGTGCATTCTAATTCCAAGTGATTCCATTGTGCCAAATACTATCTCCTGCAGGATTTTTAAAAACTTTTTTTTAATCTTAGGGTTTTAGTAAGGAAGCAGATGGCAGCTCAATGAGCCACATTCAGTTGAAAAAATGTAAAGTTTAGGATATCTCTCTGCATTTGATCCAACAGCCCCGGTTACAAACCAGTCTTAGAAGCTTCTGGTTACTGCAGGTCACAGCAGTTCATAATATCATCTCAGCAAAGTGCACAATTATATTGGTGTGTTGGCCTCGGCCATTAACCAACAGACCAATACCCATGACTAACCCAACGCAGCGACAACCACCACTGCTTTCCACAAGAGTCTGTAAAATGCTGATGGAGCAGGAAATAGCCATAAACGTTTCCCTGAAATCCTCTAGGGATGTCCTGTAATATTTTCCATGGAAATGTCATAAAATATTCCATGCAATTAGCTTCACTTAAAGAAACATGTGTCAGTTTGGTTTACCTTCTTGATGGTGATTTTTTTTCTTTAAATTTGTGTCATTTATTTAAAAAAATATTTTATACATTCCTACCAGGAGATTCTGAAGAACAGATATGTAATAATGGAAAGACTAAATTCAACTAAAATAAAAGCTGAGTAGTAAAAATAAGGGGACAAGAGATGGGGGTGGTGAGGTAGGGAACAAGAATGAAAAACAAATATTTTAGAAGTCTTTTTATTTATTTATTTATTTTTTTACAAAACCAAAGTCCTACATTTTCATGAGTCCGTTTTCTAATTGCGGAAACCACAAAGTTACCTAAGAATGGAAAGACTTACTGTTAACCTTGTAACCCCAGAGAATTAATATGAATTGAAATTGCCTCCTGGGATTCCAACCTGATATCAATGTATATTTTCCAAAGCAGGGATCATGTTTCCACAAAGTCGCCACATGCTGTGGATGGAAAACAGGTGCATGGGCGAGGCTTCCTGAATATGGTAACTCCATAATCAATCCCCACATGGCTTATCTCTGCTCTGTTCCAGACACAGTTGATCCAAACCTGGTTCATGGTGATTTTCCACCGAGGACCCCAGGGTGTTCATGATGACGGTTGAAACAGGGGGGTTATTACATAACAGCTTTTCTCCCTGAGGCCGTGACACTTCCAGGTTCCTTTCCATTTTATCACGGTACCAACTGCAAGACCTACCTGAGCTGCCCAGCTGCAACCTAGAGAGGAAGAAAATTCCTTGTCCGAGTTTGTTGTGGCATTTTATCAGCAGTGGTGATCAGATGCCTTCATTTCATTGCTTTCTCCAAGTCCCACTTGCTGTTACTGAATCGATCTCAAAATAAAAAGCAGGGTAATTGAAAAAAGTCATATAACTTCCTAGGACATTACTTAAGCATAGCAGACATTGAAGAAATAGATGCCAGGAAAAAAAGCCATACTAAGGAGGCAAGGAGGGAGATCTCAGGCAAAATCCTTGGGGTTACTGGAAGTAGCTACTATGGAAACAAATTTAACAAAAGCAAAATCATTGAATACACACAAAACTGAGACAAGCTATCCAAAAACAAAGGGAAATGACATATGCCAAACCCTAGTATATAAAGCAAAAGCAGTTTGCAGCATACAATCAATACAAAAAATATATATATACTCACCTGGGCAAGCTGAAGTAGCTTTAAGAAAGTGTTTTTAAAAAAGAGAAGTGCTGGGCTCAATGTTGTAGCCTATTGGCTAAAACCCTTCCCTTTGCACGCCCCAGGATCCCAAAAGGGTGCCAGTTCTAATCCTGGAAGCTGCACTTCCCATCCAGCTCCCTGCTTGTGGCCTGTGAAAGCAGTTGAGGATGGCGCAATGCTTTGATACCCTGTACCTGGGAGGAAGACCTGGAAAAGGGCCCTGGCTTCGGATTGGCTCAGCTCTGGTCCTTCCAGTTACTGCCGGAGTGAACGAGCAGACAGAAGCTCTTACTCTCTGCCTTTCCTCCTCTCTGTATATCTGACTTTCCAATAAAAATAAAATAAATCTTTTTAAAAATGGCTAGAAGATTAAAAAAAAAAGCACTAAAAACTCACCTCAAAAGTCATGATGAGTGCTCATTTTTTCAAGCAAATTTTATATGCACAATGAGTTGATTGTTTGATTGCATCCAACATAAAAACCTGACACTTGTTTGTGTCAATCTCCCATTTGTATCCTGAGGGGCCTGTTTGAGGCCAGATGATTCCTAAATTAGGAATCATAAATGAAAAGGAAACAGAGGGATTCAAGTCCAAAAAGAAGGAAGAGTGCAATCCATTACTGTTCCTGAAAGTCCAGTGTCTTAAGATCAGTCAGGAAGAAAATAGAAGTCAAGCTTGGTGGAACACCCAAGGAGATAATTTCCTAAGGAGCTAAATGAGCACACAAAACTCTTGACTAGTAGCTTTCAAAAAGACACACAACAGGCCAGGAGCAATAATAGCCTAGTGGCTAAATTCCTCGCCTTGCACGTGTCAGGATCCCATAATGGGCACTGGTTCATACCCCAGCTGCTCCATTTCCCATTCAGCTCCCTGATTGTGGACTGTGAATGCAATAGAGGATGGCCCAAAGCCTTGGGACCCTGCACCCACATGGGAGTCTGAGAAGAGACTCCTGGCTCCCATCTTCAGATTAGCTCAGCTCTGGCTATTGTGGCTACTTGGCAAGTAAAACAGTAGATGAAAGATCTTTCTCTCTCTCTCTCCCTCTCATTCTCCTTTCTGTAAAATCTGCCTTTCCAATAATTTTTTTTAAAGGCACACAATGAGTATGTGCCTTCACAATAACAAAAAAAATTTATCTGTGCACCCATCCTTCCCCAAGCTAAGCCTGTGACCCTGGCTCAGGGCACCCATCCTTCCCCAGGCTAAGCCTGTGACCCTGGCTCGGGGCACCCATCCTTCCCCAGGCTAAGCCTGTGACCCTGGCTCAGGGCACCCATCCTTCTCCAGGCTAAGCCTGTGACCCTGGCTCAGTGCACCCATCCTTCCCCAGGCTAAGCCTGTGACGCTGGCTCAGTTTTCCTCTCAAAATTGACTGTCTTCATGAAGCTACCTGGAAAGGAGCAGAATTTTGACTTACTAACTTACAAACAGCCCCAGAATCTGAGTTGTTAACTGGTGTCTCAATATTCATCTGGATGGGTGCTAAATACAGAAGACTAACAAAGACAGAAAAGATGCAATCTGTCTCGTTAGACAAATCTAAGGAGACATAATATAGCCTTCTGAACAACTAGGTGGCCTTGCTGACAGGCCAGAAGTGCCTAAAGGGCAACTACTTAAGGTTCCCTTAGAAAGCCTTGGACAGGCCCCTGCCAACATTCTTCTCGCCAATATTCTGTTTGCGTTGTTCACCCATCTGACTGACATATGCTTTTCTAACCCGTTTCATCAGGCTAAAGTTCAATGTTTCCTTCCTGGCTTGTCTTCACATCTCTCTCTTTTGATCTATGTAATAATGCATTGGCTTCAAGTTTAATTCCTACAGATGAATTCTATGTCTCTGGTTTCAGGTTGTTGGAGGGAAGAATGGTGGCAAGAGCGGGTATTCTTTCATTATAGTCTGAGTCCTGGACAGAAGTGACTGTAAAAAGCTAACAAGAGTTTTCACAAAATCACTATTTGCAGAAGCAAACTTGTGAATTTCTCTGGAGAAGCCCTGGCAAGTGATAATCAAAAATATTAAGGAAGCAAATGAGAAAGGGAGATAAGTTGTGCAAACCCCATTCGTGTTTTAGAAAAGAGAAGTTGAAAGAGCAAAACAGATTTAAGGCAAACTCGGAATTATACAATGGAAAAATACTGCGCTGAAGATTAAAGGGCTGCCTGCTAGATAGATAATGCCAAAATTGATGAGAAAATACATTACATTTCCTTTCCTTTGAAACCTTGGTTGATATTTTCCACTTTTACTGGAAAGAAATAAGCTCTAAGATGTCACTCAACACTTGAAAAGAGAGGCCTCCCTTTCCAGATGCAGGAACATGGAGAAAGTGCCTAGATTTTTTTTTTTCTGTGAAGTACAAGCCTCCGGAAAGTTCAAGATCAGCTCACAGACTATGAAAAAATCTGCTCTGGGTCTTTAGTTGTTGGGCTGTGAGCAGGTTTTTTTGGGGGGTTGGAGGGGGGACTGGTTAGGAAGTCTGGAAGCAGGAGAATAACCATTTTCTCTTGCCTTTAGGCTGGTTCTCTTTGGGGAGCTCCATTTCTTTCCAATCCACCCGGATCAGGGGACAGTGACACTCAATTGTTGAAGTAACATCAGCAAGGTGAAGCCTTTCCAGCCCTTGAGCATCTGCGGCTAGAAGGGATTTTGCACGCCTGCTACAATTCTGAACCCAACTGAGTCAGACTCTCAGCTCTCAGTCTTCTTTTTCTCCACTGTAATAGCACCATGAAGAGTTAACCTGTCCCTTCCCAACTGCCCGCTTTGCTTTTCATGACCGGGTGCAGCTTTCGGTAAGTGCTGCCTGGGCAAGTTTAGAGATCTGTTCTTGTCAGCTTGAAATTCTTAATGGATTTTGAGCAAGGGGGCATCGCGTTTCTATTTTTCAAACACTGATGATATAGCTGCCCCTGCCTGTTTATCTACCCCTGCAAGCCAAAAGTACATTTGCATTCTCTGATATGACCCATAAGCCTGTGTGATGTGCTCAAACACAGTGCCCATTGAGAGAACACCCAGATTAAAAAGCCAGCTGCAGCTCTAGCCACATACTCTGCTCACACTTTGCAGAAATTCAGGAGTGTGTGTTCATTTGCTCGGTGGCTGCACGCAGCAGAGTGAGGCCTTTAGTCATATCACAAGCTAACCTCTGGAAAGTGAGCCCGTGACCACGCTTGCATTGAGTGAGAAGTTGGGTCCAAATTGTGTTCCTTGCTCCTACAAAATTCAGGACAAAACTAATGAATTCCCAGAATCCATGGGGAAAAAAAAAAGCACAATTGGATTTATACCTGATTTTAAAAATCAAAGGCTACTGATCTAATACAGCTGAAACCCTTTGTTGGAAATGGCAATGAGACTCAGTTAATCAACTTGAGCACAGAGCATGCTGTCTTCTCTTAGGTAATCATTTCTTCACATTGACAAGAACAGAATGACCGTGAGTTAAAACACTACTTTAGGACTGGAAGAAAAAAAACAATGCTTTTCTGTGCCTTCTGGGAAAATAATGGTCCTTCTCCTCCATTTTCCCATCTGCTTTGCTGTTCTTCCCTCTCCCCACTCAGTATTTGTTGGAGATTTGGGCGTGGGATTGAGTTATGTTTGTTTTCATATTTTCCTTTATTTATTCTATCTATGAAGTGTGTTAGAATGGAATTATAATAGTTCCTTACTTGTGGGGATTCCAAAGGAACTCAGGCTCATTTCTAAGCAAGCTTCAATTCAAAGGATTTATGGGAGGTAGATATTGGCACGTGGGAAAGAAACTGACATGGCCACATCTCATGGTAGAGATCCGAATTTGAGGGTCAGCTCTGTTCTTTACTCCCACCTGCTGCTAATGTACAATCGATGAGGGAGCGAATGGTCCTTCAAGTTCTTGGAACTCATGTGGGAGATTCAGGTTGAGTTGCTAGCTCCTAGAGACTCCAGCCTAACTCAGCACTAGTCCCTGACAACATTTAGACAGTGAACCAACAAATGCAAGTGTATCTATGTATCTAACAGCTATCCTTATCTATTAGCCGATCTCTGTCTCTGCATTGAAACAACAACAAAAAAGAATTTGTGACAGAAGGCTGTTGTTGCAGGGCTGGTTTTTCAGAACGGGCTAAATATGCTCACCCACATGGTCACACATCTGTAGCCCAAGCTTTTGTGAAGATTTTAAATTGAAAACCTAGCTCCCAAATCAAGGAAATTCACACATTGATTGCACACTGAATGGTATTAATAGTTATTATCACTGAAATGTGAAAAGGGGTGTTTTTCACTAGCGACTTAATAATAAATGTTTCTCTTTTGGAAACACATGCTGAAATGTTCTATGTTGGATCTGCGTCACAATAGCCGAAGCAAGGGCTGGAGTCAGGGTGACAGAGATGGGTAGGACTGTCAAGAAATTGATGATTTTTGAAATATATGGATGGATTCAGGATGGTTAATAACATGCTCTCACTCTTCGGGACATATGAGAATATCTTATGTATTTTATCTGTACTGTGGGTCTCCCCCCACCACTTCTGCACTGCGTACATAGGATGTCTCCGTGAGCCTGTTTTCTCTGTTCGTTTTCATGGTACTAGCTGCCTCTGAAAGCTGCTGTGAGAAACGAATGAGATCATGACCTGAAAACAGTAGGACACCTTCATCACTTCTTCCATTCAGATCATCCTCCAGGAGCAATCTGCTGCCACCTCTCAATCGAGCAAATTCCTTTCTTTGGTCGGCTTGTGGGCTGGAGTCTAGACTGAGCTCAAACTTCTGCTTACATTATGAAATCAGATAAGACTTGAAGAATTCAACTTGCTGAGTGGAAACCTAGAGTCTTCATCTCCTATGTGACCTCCCTTCCAACTCCTACCACTTTTAAAAGAATACAAATATACATTTTGATTTTCCATAAACAAGAGCGCACGCCAAGCAGGTTTGTACAGATTGCAGAAAAAATGTTCTTTTGATTCAGATCCCGAAAACACATCACTGAATGATTTTATTAAAAATACCATCAGCAAGAGTTCCCTTGACAAGCCAACTCAGCAAGGGTGCTAGCAAAACAAAATCAGAGATAATCCATTAATATTTTGATACTGCTAGGTTTCTAAACATGTTTAATGTTTTCCTTCAAAATACAGAAGTGACTCACTCCAAATGTAAAGTACAAACAAACCAAACAAGGAG